CTAAAAATCTGTCTTTTGCCTGCTTTCAGGAGTGCCATCCTGATACTTCCTGATACAGAGCACTGATATTTATTTCTTGTATATGTTACGATTCCCTTTCTTTTAAACAATATGTGTTAATGAAAAATATGAGCAATCTGTTTGTGAAATCTGAAAGAAAATACGTCAGTGTAAAATTTCAAATTATATGAAAAGGAAACCTTAGTATGATATGTTATATTTTGAATGTCGACCGACTTTTTTTCCTTCTGAAGAAGAGGGAGCTTTGTCTCTCAGCGCCTTTCAAAATCGGTAGAGTCTTTTTCAAAGTCTACGCTAAAATTGCTTTTTTGATCGACTTTAAATTATTTATAGCTTTTCGAATAATTTCCTACTACAGTACAAGACAGTTTTTATTGCTTTTTAACTGTTCGGTGTGGAGAACAAGAGATCTTTTCCATCTCGTATTGCATAATGGTTGTGGGCTCGCTATATTGTGAATCCCGCTTAAGACACATACATTTGTGCCTGTATAGAATTTCTGCGAAATTGAGGTATTATAGGTTGTCACTGCAGACATTTTCTATAAAGGTTAGAATCAAAGTAGGCGTAGTAGGAGATCCTCGGATTCCATCCAGCGGTATATTTTCAGTGTAAATTAAAATGGGAATTGAGTAAATCATCTTAGCTACTTAAGGCCTTATTCCAATAACAAGCGTATTTTCTGACCGTTCCTATGATCATTCATAAAGTCATTTCCCGATGACTTAACACGCACAATCATGAAAAAAAGCAAGAATAAAATTGCATAGTTTGAATAGCCGATTCATTAATAACTAAAACTAAAGTTATGCATCCTATTACCAGATTTATTTTAATTTCGTTAGACATAGACTAGACTAGAAGAGACATTAGCGTGTTCATTAGACATGTTTGTAATTTTAAAAATCTAGTATTCTGTTTTTCGTGTTGATGATGGGTTTTTTTTCGCGTCACAAAGCCTAATTAGTGGTAAGGATCTAAAAACTGACTGGTAGAACTAGAATCTTAATAGTTAATATATTACATGATTTGTGAATCTAAAACCTAAGATAACATAAGAACATAAGATCTAAAAATCTAAGATAACAGTTCTCATACACGTTCTTAAAATAAAATTGAATTCAAATAAAACACAATCTCCGCTTCTGATTAAATTTATCGATTAGTGTGCATAGATGGCAACAATAATTGTATAAGCATCACGTACTTTATGCAAAAGCGACACGAATTCAATTTTTACGTTTCTCGCTTTTTACTTAAATCACATCCTCGAATGGAACAGTGGATTCAATTATTGCCTCGAAATAATACTTATGATATCCAAAATCTGAAACGTTTATTAGAGTGATACGCTAAGCCTTTCGAATCCTAGGAGACTTAAAATACTGGAAGGTAAAGCTTTAAATAGATATATCTAACTGTTTTCACTCTCTATATCTAGCAATTTAAATAATTGCTTTTAACATTTTTGCTTTTCAACTGAACAGAGTTTACGTTCGATCCACTTTAACGATTTTAGTCGTTTCACACTTCTCTTGCTTATGTAGGTTTGGTTAAATATTTCTCACATTGTTTTAGTTTGAGGGGTTTTTCTCATTCTTATCGATGCAAATTATGTTAATTTCGTTTCAAATGCTGTGGAAAAGATTTCAGGAAGCTGTATGATTTTAGATATAATATAAAGGTTCGCTTTGTTTTAAATCAGTGCTCTTTTAGTTTTCTAATTCATAAACATAATTAATAGCTTTCGATTCCTAGAATAAATTTAAAGTTTTGATTGTAAAACTTATTTTACTGTGCGTTAAATGCAAAATGTTCTTGATATGCGCTAAAATATTTTTGTTACTGTCGAAATTCATCACATTAAATAAAATAAAACACCTATATTTCCAGCACTCGGAATTTCATAGTTACATTGCGACTATGAGCGCATAATTTTATAGCTGTAAAATAACAAGTGTAATTATATTTTCATTGTAAATTGTTGTTTTCGTATCATTACAGTTTTCAAGAAAACATGTCAACTTTTTTGCTTATTTTGATGCTGAAAAATATATTTGATCTTCCTGCTAATTCCCTAAGTTCCGCATCTATTATTTTGTATTTTAATTAGTAATTTTCATATTCTATTCCTTATTAAGTCAAAGTATTTGACTTAAAAATAAACACTTCTGATCTAAAATTAAAATATGCTTGATATATAATGCTCCATGTCTAATTTGAAAAAGGTAGCTATTTGCTTTACTTCCTTAAATATTTATCATAGAGATAGACCTCCAATTCTACAATTTCTTTAAATTAAGTAAATAATTTTATGAAAACAATTTAAGGACTCGAAGATAGAGGATTTCGTAAATATATAATCTAATATTTTGTATCATTTGGCAGCGCAAAACATACATGTAGTAAAATGATATTGTGCTTTAATAAATTAAATGCATTTTCTAAATTTTCCTTTCATAAATGTTCCATTCATAGAAAAGTGTGAAATGAACTTATTGAAGCCACTTTAAAATGTTGCTTATGAGATTTAGGAAGAAATTATAAAACAAAAATTGTGATTTTTATAAGTTATATTTTCACATTGGATAAAACGGTATTCTTTATTATCTAGAACCTAGTCCTTGAGATTACTAATTACTGATGTCAGCGCTAACTTTGCTCGGAAACATATCGAATCTTTTTAATTTATTAATGTATAATGAACATTTCACAAATTTGATATTTTTCTCTTCTGAGGCGAACTAAAATGTTAGTCTTTGTATTTACAGAAGCATTTTACCCCTGTTCCGAAACTATATTCATAAATCTATCTGTTTTAGAAACTAATTTTAAATTTGTGGAACTAATTTGAAATACTTATCTTATATCAGTATTTAAGGAAATAAAATTCACCATAGCTAATTTGCTCAATCATCCTGTATTTAGAAAATATTATTCTTTCTGTGTTGTTCTTGAAATATCTGTTCAAGCAGTCTGTACTTAAAAAATATTATTCTTTCTGTGTTGTTCCTGAAATATCTGTCAGAAATTGTGAAATACCTAGAAATAAAAACGTAGTCGAAAAATAGAATTAAAATACAAACGAACGCAATTTTCTTCAGAATTGAGTAGAATCTCAGGTTTTGAAACTTAAGATTTAATTTTATTCTGTTAACTAAAGTAACTTGCAAATGCAAGATCAAGTTGTATTTATTTCTTACTTCTTTCCGTCTCCAAATATAATTTCTTCTGCAAATTTGATGCAATTTGTTTTCATTATTTGAATTAAAGTTTCAGTTTTCTGACGATTGATGTAATTTCACCTTTGTGTACAGTTTAAGTCATCTAAATTTAGAATGTGTTGAAATGAATAAGAAATGAATATGCACCGTTAAACTACTAAACATGAATCTATTATGCTAGATTATTCAAAATTCTCAGACTGTTAACCACTTAGAAGTTTTAATTAATTATCTGGTAACAGTTTCATTAATACTTTAACAAATGTAATAGATTATAGTTTTTTAATAATTTCAAGTTTGATAATGTGTAATTAGCTATTTTTTCCTGTTATATCACAAGCGATTTATTTCATTTTCCCTGTAATAAAATTACATTTAATTATTAAAAACTTAATTTCATTTTTTTTTAAATTAAGATCATTTTTACTGTAATAAGCATACTGTTAACTGTTGTATGAAAAGCTTGCTTATATTTATTATTCAAAATAACTTTTTTCATCGTTAAATATAAATCATATTAATTTTCTTAATTTTGGGCAATATATAAGTATTTATTGCATTTAGGGCAACATTTTGAAGTCTGTGATCAGACCAATCATACAGTTAAGAGCACGTAGTCCTTCTCCCAGTCCCACGACATAGTTATTGACTAATTATTGTAATCTGTCTTACGTAAAGTGAATACAATAACTAATGAGAATTGATTAAAATTTCACCCGTTAACTAAGATAAATTTGAAAATAGGTGTACTTTATATCATAGGCTAAAATCATTATTAAAAACCAGTTGATTTAATTTTTATATGCTATCTAAATATCGAATTAAATTTATTTAAAAAAAACATAAAGGGGTTTGAATAGCGCTGAATCCTTCATTATTTTATCATACATTTTGTAGCTAGCTAATCCTTTATCAAGATTGTGAGGATTTCGAAGCTTAATTCCATATAAAAAAATATTTCTTTGATATGTTGAATGAGACCGAAAATTAATAGTTGAAGTTTTTTTTAAGTTATCCTCTTTTTATCTCTGATCTAGTTTCAGTATGACATAAGCTCACAAGAATCAATAAGAAAGAATTTTTTTTCCGTCCTCGTGAAAAGTAATCCAACGTTAACGCATTCTCATTTCTTTATTAAATTTATTATGAAAAGCAGATTTTACTTTTTATTAAAATCTGATGGGACGTTTAATAAATATCTCAATGGTAAATTATATTGATTCCCGAAGGAAAACTGTCGTTCAAAATAAGCAATGTACATTAACATTTTATTGAAAATCCCCGATTGTACTCTGCCGATGCATTATTCCCTTTGTCTAAATAGTTTCTTTAAATGCAATAGCTAACCGTTTAACCATTTTTATAATATTACCAGATTTTAAACAAAACATCCTTCGAACTGACAACAAAAATATCCGCATGACTGATTAACCACTTACTCACAGCAGGAAATACAGCGAAACATCCTTAAGACGACCGCCTTAGGTTCCAGATGATTCACAATTTCACTGGAGATGGCTACCTTAGAGAAGTTACGTTTAATACATATGTTTATTTATAGCCTGTGAAATATTGGTTACTTCCAGACTTTACTCGTGGTTGCTTACTTGATGAGTTTTACTGTAGTATCATTTCACTCTGTTGTTCTAATTGACTGTCGTGTGTATTGAATTCATATTAAGAAGGTTTTTGGCATAGTTGAATTGTAAATTAAAAAATTTATTATTTTAAGTAAATAAATACTTTTTGTTATAGGTCCGTTCGTGAAAAAACAAACTCGGGTGTAGACATGCGTGTTGGTGTTCACACAGGAGCCATCTTAGCAGGCGTGATGGGACAACGACAGTGGCAGTTCGATGTCTACAGCAGAGATGTTGTCCTTGCTAATAAAATGGAGAGTTCTGGTATGCCTGGGTAAGTGTCATTATTGCATTATTTTCATCTACGTTTATAGATCATTTCAGACGACAGCGCCTTGGATTATTTAATATACTACTTGGGAGAAATCCCTCGCTACTGTACTACTGAGTTATAAACTATGCCATAAAGGTTTGTCCGTTTAATTTATTAATGCGATAGAATTATTTCTTTAGATCTGAACAAGAAGTGACAACTAGAAGGATATGGTTCATAGCACTGGCAACATAGAAATTCTTATAATAAAGATAACAACATTTAGCGGCAACAAACAATCTTTTTATTGTGTTGTTGTTAAAATGATGCCTGGAATTCTCCTCATTCTAAACATCGTAGAAGCATATTTGCAGTTTGCCCTTTGCAGTTTGAATGTAAATACAAATTTCAGTTATCATCGAACTGTTTGATAGGATTTCTGGTCCACTTAACACGGCATGTTAAATCTAATGCATTTTATGTTTTTTATAGAACCACGTATTCCTTTAGGCTGGATGTGGTCTTGATCAAAATAACACAACTGTTTCAATTACAACTTAAATTTTCCGAATGGTTTCCACAGTCTCTCTCACTTGCATGCATACAAGTGAGAGAAACTGTGAAAACCGTTCGGAAAATTTAAGTTTTTGAAATTGAGCAGCTTACGGCTCTAATATATTTTATTATTATACTGTAAAGTATGCATCTTTACAATAGAAATTTAATGTAGTATATAACACAACATATTTTATGAAATGAACACACGTGAAAAAACACAGGATTCTGTGGAAATGTGAACAGATGGCGATATAATTTTGATTCTAATATCTCAATGACGTATTTTCTGCTATGCAATGCTGCATAAACTCTTTCAGCAATCCAATAATTAAAAACTTCCCACAGCATAATTATAACTACAGTAAGTGTTATGCGCTCGGAAAACGCATTTTCTTTAATCTTGCTTCTGACGCATTTCATACCCTCACTATTAAATATGGATATTGTGATTTCGTCATTCTGAATTCGCTGTTGCATAGCTACTGTGGCTAAGTAGTTCCATAGCTTATGTGGTCTTTTTAGCTCATTCGAATCGTTTATGTTTTTCTTTGTTTGGTATACAAGACTTTTTCGAAATTTTGACACTTCAATAAAAAATTTTAATTTTGCGTTGAAATGTCCTGACATTTACATCATATTCATATGAATCACTTTTAATTTCCTCAGACCCCTTTTTTCTGTACTCAAAGTGTTTCTTATCACTAATTCTTCTATCACGACACGGTGTTGTGAATAGTTTTCTAACACTGATAGTTTGATTTTTGATCAACTGAATACCGATATCCCCTTTCCCACTATTTAGAAATTTTTCCTTTGGTTGTTTCCGCCTCCTTTTCTTGCCAGTTTCGTCATAAATATTATTTCATTCAGATAAAGATATTGTTTCGTTCTTTCTAGATGATCAGTCATTCATTTCTATTTTTCTTCCTTAGTCCTAAAAAAGTTTCATAGCTTACTTATAAAACTAACAGTTGAAACAATGCTTGGAAATCGATCATCTTGCTAATAATCATACAACTAAATAAGATACTGTATTACCAATTTTTGGTAGCAAAACCATATATTCCAAAACGTCCCAAATTTTGATCTCTAGTTTAGCTGTATTTATTTACCTGTGTTGATTTTAGGTTTCGCTAAAATTAATCTCTTTTCTCCTTGACATCAGAGTAAATTAGATTTAGAAAATAAATTAATATTAGATAAAAAGGAAATTAGATTTAGAAAATAAATTAATATTAGATAAAAGGAAATTAGATTTAGAAAATAAATTAATATTAAATAAAAAGGAAATTAGATTTAGAAAATAAATTAATATTAGATAAAAAGGAAATTAGATTTAGAAAATAAATTAATATTAGATGAAAAGGAAATTAGATTTAGAAATCAGAACCAATAATTCAGCAAAGTTACTGTTATTTGAATTATAGGTTATCATAGTTAATATCTGAAATAAAAGCGATTAAAGCAGAATTTGTAATCAGATTAAAATTAGCATACATGGTAAGATAATTTGCAAGCAAATGACGTAGCCTTTAGATTATTCATCAAATATCTCCTCTTATATTTATGTTTGAAGGGAGAAATTATCATAAGAAGCATCGAATAGCAAATCTTTCTAAATGTAAACTTTAGAACCTTTCCTAGCGATTATATTTTCTTGGTTACCGGTGAATTTCTGCCAACATGAAGGTAGGTTATGATATAATGAAACTTCGAGTTTAAAAAGAACTAAAACACTAATTCATTTGTATCTGTCGTTGACAGAACTAAAAAATGGTAGTGCTAAGATATCTATAACTTGCAGAGTAGCTTAAGAAAAATATTGTAACTAAGATATATGCAATTTCTGAAATTATAATTTAAGTAGATATTTAACTAGGATATATATGGTAGATATTTAGTAGAGCTGCAGCTGAGATGCCAAAACAAATGCACTGGTGTGTGACTTAAATTTGTCCTTTTCTACTAATTTGCACCTTTTGAAACATGTTAAGGTGAACTATAAGAAATCTGAGAGAAGAAATAAAACTTAAACCAAAATATAGTTCAAACAAAAACTTCACACCTTAGCTTTGGAGGCTGTGTCATCTGAATGAAATTTTTAAAAAACTGGTTTTAATCGATATAGGAAATAAGTTATCTGCGAGAAAATTTTCAAATTGTTGAACTGTTCGAAATTTTGACTTCATTCATCTTAACATTTTGTTAAACTGCACTTGAGTGAAAACATCCGATATTTTTACCTTGTAGGTACTATTTGCACATTTTAATGGAAAATCTGGAATCGATAAGCCAGTGCCAAATCAATATGCATCTAACTTTCTATCTTCGGCTTCTAAGAGTGTTGTCCTTGGCCTGTGGGTTGTCGATCAATTAGATCAATATATTCCGCGCATGTTTGGGTAAGGCTATTACACCTTTCTACTTTCGTCCGTAGTCATTTTCGTAAAAAAAGGGAAAAATCCTTGGAAAATAAATTGCAGGTCTTCGCCTAAACACAGATTTGATATATGTGTTACTGGGAGAGCCCAAAATATCTCTGTCTCGTCCTAGTAAAAGAAGTTTGTATCTACGTTACACATTTGTTACTTGCAGAAGAGGGCGGACTATTCAGAGACAAATGGAGGCAACATCTACTGCTACAATTTTATTTTTTACCCACCATCGAAATAAATAGTTTAAGGAGAATGCACAATATTAAAATAATTATTAAACAGGTAATTTGGATTGCCTGGAGCTTAATTTTTATGTCTTGCTTCAGTCTGACAGATTGCAAAATCAACATTTGAAACGAATACCAACTTTATATATGTTCATAAGCGCGTGGAGTGTTTTCCACCATATTGGATGAATTAAATAATTTCGGTGTTAATTACAGCTTAAGTAAATTTTCCACAGCGAATTAAAGATACTTTCGAAGACGCGTTTATCTCTTCTCTACATATCATAAATGAAAGAGTCTGTGTGTCTTTCGTTCGTGCTGCGCGTAAGCTAATAGATCCAGGGCTACGAAATTTGGTATATAGGTGCATCTAGACAAGAGCCAGTGCACCTGAAACCGATTTTTTTCAAAATTCGAATCAGATTTTTTTTTAATCTTTTCGATTTTATCGCATCATTTTCAATAGTTTCATTCTTTTAGAAATGCAGTTTTGGCAACAGTTTTTCATTTAATTGTATACTGGACATCTGACTGTTGAAAATCAGCACTGTTGCCACTTGGAAAAATGAGGGCGATCATTCTGTGCAGTTTTTAAATTTAATGTTTCTCGTGGATACTGGACGTTTGTTGAGAGAAGGTAACGGGAAGTTGGTTAATTTATTTATTAGGATAATTAATATTTGTATTAAGGGATGTTGCTTATTTCTTTGTAATTTTGTTATATGTAATATTTTTTTAATGAAGTTGTTCTGCAGAGTAAAATTCTGCACAGTTTTTAAAAATTTAACGTTTGGTGTTCCCTTCAGGCATTTTTCCGGTACATTAAAAACCAGACGAAGGCTGGCCGCGTAGCTGCTAGTATACCTATAAATGTAAGATAAATATGTAAATAAAAATTATAACTTAAATTAGCAATAGCTCCTTAATTATTCATTTTAGTTTTGGTATTTTTCTTCTCTGTTATAAAACTAGCAATTTGTTTAATATTTTTTCCTGAACTACGTCATTTATAGAATAAACTATATCATATGACTTTTACAGAGCGATGATGAAGTAGCTAACTCAAAATTTCGAGAACCAAAATCTTTCTCTGAACAAGCTTCCATATTGGATAACTACGCAGTTTGCTTCTACCTCTGTTGCCGCTAAGATGCTGCCGCGCTGCTTTCTGCACAAAAATGTAAATATTCTGGAAATACGCACGAGTGAGCGTAGAGCGCCAAGTGAATTGTGGCCAAAAATGTCAATTGAAATAAAAAATGATATTTAATCTGCCTTGGTTGCCAATTTGCTCTCCATTATGGACCTTAACACCACAATCAATATTTGTACATCATTATATTAAGTTTGCTTCATTGCACGCACACACACACACACACACACAAAATATGAAAGCAAGCTTCTAAATTTAATTCACTATAACCTCTTTTATTTTCTATTTCATTTGGGAACTTCATCTATCTGTCCTAAAAATAGCGCTTAAGTCTAAACTGCGTCATTCAAATTAATCATGCGATCTTACGTAACCCTTAATGCAGATGCCTCTTGACCAACCACCAAACTGCCAAACTTTTCAAACTTGCCAAACAAACCAAAACTTTTCTTTTCGCGTGCTTCCATCTTGCATAACTACACACTTCACCTTTGATCTTTGTTCTTTATTGTGCGGAGATGTAATTCCGCTGGCCTTCTTTCTACCTCAACAATATCAAAAATGTTAATCTTCTGTGGAAAAAGGCACGACTGGAGTGCCAAGTGAGTGTGGCCACAAATATCAATTGCAAATAAAAATGGAATTAAA